CCCCAACTCCATGCATGCACATACCCTGTCATGAATTTTTTTTATTTTTAAAGAATAATTTAATTTAATTTAATTTGACCAGAGAGGGACAGAGTGCCAGAGAGCAAGAGAATGGAAAGTGAGAAAGCAAGTCACCAGGTCCAGGACTCGAACCATGGTCAGCCATGTGGGAGTACAGAGCCCTTAACCACCATACCATCTACTGGCCCCAAATTTTAAAATTTTTAAAATAGAATTAATGTTAAACCTAGTCTCATCTTAGCAGTAATATTTTTTAGATAAATAATATTTATCTACAGATATTATTTGGAAACTTCAGCCTCGCCAATGATCATTTGGCTACAAACTGGGGGCAGTCCCAAGTTGTTATGTTTAATAATTATCAACACTTACAATAATACATGTTGTTTTGGTCCATTGTGGGTTAATAATATTGTAATCCTAAATAAATCCAGAAGAATTAACACTTAGAACCCTGTGTTCACAGGAAATATTAGGTTGTCAGGAAATCATGACATATTTTTCTTCATTTTTCTATGCAATAATGCATCATCACTTTCATGATCATGTGGCTACAAAATGATGATCATTACTTTTTTATGCATACTTTTTTTAGAGGTTTTTGCCATAGGGTGTGTGCACTCGCCAGAGAGACAGAGACAGTGAAAGGGATGGCTACACGTCAGTCTCTTCTCCTCCATTCTCCTCCTGGGGTCTTGGGTATGCACACACCCATGTCTGGCATGAGTTTCAAGCCACCAGGTCCTGGGCTTGTACCACAGTTGGCTATGTGGGAGTCCAGTGATGTAACCACTATACCATCTGCTGGCCCCAACCCAGTAATATTTTAAATTAATGTTAAGTTACATACGTATTTTTGCTATAGATAAGAATGATCAATAAAACATAAAATAGAGCAGGATATAATTTTAATCTTTCATAGGAGATGTCCACTCACCAGAGAGATAGAGAGACAGAGACAGAGAGTGAAAGGGAGAGTGCACCCCCATGGGCTGTGGTCATGCTGCAATGTCTTCTCCATTTCTCCATCCTGTTGGGATTTGGGGCACACACACACCTACTGGGCATGTGTTCAAGCTGCCAGAGCCAGGACTTGAACTGCACAGTCAGCTCTCTTATTTACCAGGCCACGAGACAAACTCAGCAGGATATAATGGAGAAAAATAAGATGAAAAATATGAGTACTGGGAGAAAAATTAAGTCATAAAGCTCTTAAAAAGCTTGTTCAGGTATCCTTTGGTAGGGAGCAGCTAGGTCTACACAAAAAAACTTGTGACCTTTAAAGCAGATGGTCTTGGCGCTGTCACCGCAGGACAAGCAAAAGCTCTAATAAAGACATGGTCTGCATTCTAGGACAATAGGGATGGAGGGAAGTCGTGTGCCAGCCACAGAAGGCCAGGGGAGGCTTGCTTAGAACCACGGGAACACGAGAGGCTCCACATGTGTAGTCACTAATGGGAAATACCTGGCATCACCCTAAAAAAGAATAAACCTGAGAACAGCTCGAGGCTGCAGCGATCCCCATCAGAGATGCCGGGTTCACCCGATTCCCACTTTCCTCTATTTGTGTGTAGGTATCTTTGTCTTGTCTAAATTCACCAGGGCATTTTTTAGTAGACAGTTACAAATATCATATTGCTCTGAAGTCTGAGTTCTATTTGGTACATTAAAAAGCTAGTGTAAGTTTAAAAATGTCAGCATTGAGACCAGCAGATGGCGTAATGGTTACATCGCTGGACTCTCACATGGCCTACCACGGTTCACGTCGTAGACCCAGCAGCTAGAAACTCATGCCGGAAGCATGTGCATTTGTGCTCAAGATCCCTAGAGGAGAATAGAGAAGGGATTGCCATGTGGCCATCCCCCTGGGGGGTGATTTCTTGCTTTCTGTCTCTCCAGTGAGCTTACACGCCCTACAGCAAAAAGCTCCCTAAAAAAGTAAATAAATAAAAATAGAATGTCAGCATTTGTGACCAGAAATTGTTACCTTTTGCAGCTATTTAAATATAAAATGAAAAACTTTAAATATCAACGTAAAAATGTGAGAGGGAGCAAATCGTTTTTGACAATGCCTTTTATCTACTTAAGAATGTGAAAATGTGAAGACCACTGCTGGGAATAAGAAATGCCATGCTCCTGTGGGGATGGGTGCCCAGGAAGATGGTAGAAGGCAGTGTAGACCAGGGGCTGTCAGACTGCGCTAGGCAGTTAGTTAGCCATGAGCGGGCAGCCCTAAGAGAAAAGCGAAAGGCTCACCTGGCCCCGGGTGCCAGGTAATTTGCCATATATTAATTCCTAAAGGCTTGAGGGAAGCACACAGGGATAGTTCGTACATCTTTTTCCTTTATCAAAAGGACCCAAGCAAGCATTTTGGTCATTAATACGATAGACTAATTGGGCGATCTAATTGGGGCAACCTGACTCGCACTGGGCATACGTAATTAGGTGACCAAATTCCTCACTTTGCCTGTGAGGAAGGTGCACAGGTGCAGGAGAGAACGTGTGGATTCAAATTTAAAGGAAGAACATAGGCAGCGTAAGGGGCCGCCCACTAATAAATATTCATGACCCCTAGTAATAAGATAATGGCTAACCAGTATCTAGCGCAGTTGCCACTTGGCAATCCTCCCACCCAACAACCTTTTTGGGTGTACTTTCTTTTCCTTTCTTTTCTATTAAACTTTCTTTTCTATCTACTTCATTCGTGGTTGCGGTTTCATTTTGCGCCTAGGGACAGATCTCTAATTTTAGTGATCTGCACCCAAAAAACCAAGGATTTCACAATGCAGCTCAACACTTTTCCATCCGTTAACAAGGCCACCTGAGCCCTTCCCTCTGCCAGAGCCTTCCTCCCTCCTTGCCAACCAGCCTGAGGGTGGAGTACCCATGGAAGGAGGGGAGTGGGAACCCGAAGAAAGTCCTGAAGCTGGCATCGTACCCAGCTGCTCCAGCAACTCCAGGCTGAAGTATCAACTCTTATGTTGTTCCAGACCATGAGTCACCACCAAGCTGCAGGGCTGCACAAGCTGGGGCTTGGTAACTGGAGAAGCTGCTGCTTCAAGGTGACTCAGCAGAACTTCGCAGACCCTTCTGGAGTGTCTGGGAGCCCACTGGACATGCAGGAGAGGTTGTGCCCCTGCCTCATTTACCAGCAGGGTGAGCAGCAGCACTGCATACTCCATCAGTTGGGTTTCTGATCCCCCCCTCCCGCCCCGTGCTTAACACAGAAGTTTGGTCTGTGAAAACATGACTCTTTGGGTAGTCTCTTTACAGGCCAGAGAGGTGGGAGACTGGAATACAGACATTACCCCCAGTCACCTGAAAATCCCCACCTAACAAGAATTTGGTCTCTGTAGGAAGGAGCTTGAAATAGGGGATGCTTTATTTCAAGACAAGCAATCTGCTTTGTGGCGTTTTTGTTTGTGTTTTCTTTTGTTTTGCCATAAGGCACGTGTACTTGCCAAAGAGAGAGAGCACAAGAGAGAAAGAGGGAGAAAGTGCCCCGGGGAAACGGTCTCTCCTCCGTTTCTCCATCCTATGGGATTTGGGCACCCATGTGCTGACCTGGGACTCAGACCACATGGTCAGCTGTGTGGGCTTCGGCTTTCTTACCACCAGGCCATGGGCTGGCCCTTGCAGGATTTCCAACAGACCTATTACTGGCCCTTCTGAGGGATCAGCGCACTGGGAGACCGAGACTGTACACAAAGGGAAACCTCATTCGCCCGCCCCCCTCCCCCCACTACTTTCTGGCAATCCTCTTGGCTCCTGCCCGGAAGACCAGCTCCTCCATCAGCTTCCTTCTCTTCCCTTGTGGCCCTTTACCTTCCTCCATCGAGGAAGCCTTCGGGTGGGTGTGGGCAAGAGACAGCCCCTCTTGTAGGCTCTAGCCTAGAGGGATTGGATTCTAGTGGCTGCTCTGCCATGGCCCAGCTCTGTGACCCAAAACCTCTGAGTCAGTTTCCCCACCTGAAAGTAGAACTCACCCTGCCTCTTCCAGGGTCTTGTGAGGCTCAAGTGAGCACAGTCACATCTTTGCCTTGTGACCTGTCCCCCAGCCTGAGACACTCTCCCATCGGACACCCAGGGCCTCCAGGGCTACCTTTGGGGTCCTTTGGATTCCCTGACCCTTCGCATTCTTTGCCCTCCCCCAAAGGCTGTACTGCCCCCGCCCCACAAGGACAGAGACATGACCCCATCCTCCCAAACAGGAAGGGAAAGCTGCTGCGCCCCCTATCCTCTTGCTCTGGGATGAAGCAGCTTCCTACAGGGGTGTGGGACCACAGCGCTGTCAGCCTCTGGACAGGGAAGAGAAGGGGTCATCTCAGTCTTGTTTGGGGGGGTGGGGAAGGTTGTTTACCTTAGGGACCAAACTTATATAACATTATAAAGTCATTTGGATAATTTAATTATTAAATGAACAAACAGAGCACACCCACATCACAGGCAATGGACCCGCCCGATCCCTCCCACCCGGAACATAAATAGCCCTTCCCTGAGCCAAGCCTGCAGCGGCAGGCTGCACCCCAGGCTGGAGGTTAAGCCCAGGCAGCCCAGCCCTAACGAGAGAGAGAGAGAGAGAGAGAGAGAGAGAGAGAAACACTCCTGGCAGGATGGCTTCAGGTATGCTTCCCCTTTCTTCCCTCCCAGTCCTGGGTGTCCCTGGTCACATCACCACCAGCCTCTGGGAAGGCAGGTTAATCTTTGGGGCAAAGGGACTATCGGCAAAGCCTTGGACAGCACAGTGTGTATTTTAGCCCTACTCTTGCTTAAGACTTGAATCCTGATTTCTTTCATTCCGAAGCCGACTGCACTAGTCCCTCTGTGGCTGGGGGTTGAGAGCAGCTGGACAGGCGGCCAGAGCAGGGAGGAGTAGGAGTGAGATGTTGGCAGGTGGAGCGCAGTGGGCTCAGGGGCTCCTGCTTTGGGATCTGTCCGTTTTCACACCTCATCTCATCCTCCTATTCCTGTGTCCTCAGACAAAATGTTAGCTGTGCACTTTGACAAGCCAGGAGGACCAGAGAATCTCTACGTGAAGGAGGTGGCCAGGCCACACCCCAGGGAGGGTGAGGTCCTCCTGAAGGTGGTGGCCAGTGCCCTGAATCGGGCGGACTTACTCCAGGTACCAGCCTTGTGGGGTTGAGGAGGGGGACAAAGCCAGCCAGAACTGCTGGGACTGGGGACTGGCCCGAGATGGAGGGAGCTGGGTGGAGCTGGGCCGGGTGACAGGTGAGTCGTTTGGGGTGCTGACGCCTGTATTAGACTCAGGAGAGGAACTCCAGCATCCACCGTCATGGCCTCACTAAGCTGCCAAGGTCATCTCCTATTATAGCCCACCATGGGCCATGCTGGGAGAGTCTGCCTGGACATTAGCTAAGAAGGAACCTATAGAGGCCAGGAGGTAGTATGTGGTGAAGGCCCTGGACTCCCATATGACTGACCGTGGTTTGAGTCCCAGGCCTGGAAGCTTGAAACATGTTGGGCGCAAGTGCATGTGTGCCCAAAATCCCGAGAGGAGAATGGAGGAGAAAGGATTGAAATGTGGCCATCCTGAGGCGGGGGTGGGGGGGGTGATTTCTCACTTTCTCTCTCTCTCTGTCTGTCTCTCCAGTGAGCACATGTGCCCTATAGCAAACATCTCTCTTAAAAAAGAAAGGGAGAAGAAGAAGGAGCCTATAGAAAGGTGTGCCTGGCACTGTGCTATAGACTCTCTTACTTAACCCTCACAAGCAGCCAAGGAGATGGGTACTCTTGTTTCTCTTCCAGTGATGAGAAGAGTGAGAATAGCAGCCAGGAAGCTGCGTAAGCCGAGACTCTGGGAATGGGCGGGCTCTCTCTGGAGTGACTGTTCTGAGTGACCATCTCTGAAAAAGTCCCATGGAGTAGCTGTTTCTACAAGGACTGTTATTTAGAGACCATCCGAATTTTTTCCTATCCTAGAAAACAAAAAGACTCGCAGGCTGACCCCACGGCACAGCGATAATGTGCTACTCAAGGGAAGCCGGATCCCACATGGTGATTGTGGTTCAGATCCCCACCCCGGCCACCTAAAAACACACCCAGCTCACACATGAGTGCCCAAGGTCCAGTGGGCTGGAGGACTGGAGGAAGGGGGTCGCAGCGTAACCAGGCCCTGTGGGGGTGCTCATCACTCTCGGTCTCGCGCTCTCTCGCGTGTGTGCACGTGCTCTGTTATGAATAAAGGAGGGAGGGACCAGCAGATGACGTCGTGGTTATGCCGTGGACTCTCATATGGTCAACCGTGCTTCGAGTCCCAGACCTGGCAGCTTAAAACTCACGCCAGGTGCAGGTGCATTCTCCGAGAGGAGAATGGAGGAGAAGGGATTGTGACATGGTCATCCCCCTGGGGGGTGATTTCTCCCTTTTGTCTCTCTGTCTCTCTGTCTCTCTGGTGAGTGTATGCGCCCTATAGCAAATATCTCTCAAAAAGTAAAATAAATGTAAAGGTTGGGGAATAGACTCCAAGCAAATATCCACCTTCTCCCACCACCAGCAAGAGGGGCTATACTGGTTCCTTTCATGTGCACCCCTCTCTTTACAGAGACAAGGTCAATACTCTCCACCCCCAGGAGCCAGCAGCATTTTGGGACTCGAGGCCTCTGGACATGTGGCAGAGCTGGGGCCTGGCTGCCAGGGGCACTGGAAGATCGGAGACTCGGCCATGGCTCTGCTGCCTGGTGGGGGCCAAGCTCAGTATGTCACTGTTCCCGAAGGGCTCCTCATGCCTATCCCAGAGGGACTGAGCCTGCCCCAGGCTGCAGCTGTCCCAGAGGCCTGGCTCACCGCCTTTCAGCTGCTACACTGCGTGGGTAAGGACCCTCACCTCACCCCAGACAGTCCTCCTACCAGCCCTGCCCTGTCACCTGAAGCTAACTGCTGACCCAGCCCAGGCATCCAACTGCCCTAACCCTCACCTGTGAGCCTTCACTGACACCCCACACTACTTGGCCTCTAATCCCAGGGCTGAACCCTATCTGTGCCCCCATGAAGACACCACGAACAGTGTTTATGTCCCATGTGAGGCGGAATGACGGTTCTCAGAGCAGTTCCAGCTGCTAGTCCCTGTCCTCAGAGGCCAGGAAATGGTCTCTCACTTCCTTTGCTCAGGAACCTCATGGCTGTAGAGGAAACACTCTTATTCCATTTGTCTTATGCAGAGAAGGATCCAAGCAGCCCAGACATCTGGCTTGGGGACTTTCCCTCCCAGGAACTCCCCAGACAGTTCTTTTCTTTTTCCTTTTTTTAAAGTTTTTCTCTAGGGCGCTCACCAGAGAGAGAGAGAGAGAGAGAGAGGATATATATAGAGAGAGAAAATGAGAAGTCACCCCCTGGAGGGATGGCCACGTCACGATCTCTTCTCCTCCACGAGAGAAAATGGGAAGTCGCCCCCGGGAGGGATGGCCACGTCACGATCTCTTCTCCTCCACTCTCCTCTCAGGATTTTGGGCATGTATGCACACGTGTCTGGCATGTTTTTCAAGCTACCAGGTCCAGGACTTAAACCATGAAACTGGCCATGTGGGATCCAGCCCCTTAACCACCACGCCACTGGCTGGCCGCAGACAATTCTTTTTCTCTGTGTACTTATTTTATTCATGGGAGCATGTGCTTGTACATAGGAGAAGAAGCAGCCTCGTCAGGGTCTTATCCCACCGTGACCCCCTTCCCCCAGCCTCTTTCCCCAGCCCAAATATCTCTCTCAAAAAATAAAATAAATTTTAAGGGAGGGGTGGGCAGAGGATAGACTCAAAGTAAATATCCACCCAGGCTTGTGCCAAGTGTCTTCAAGCCTGCCCTGGAGTCTGAACCCACGGTGAGCTTCCAGCATTGTAGTTCAGTTTGCTACAACTGTGTTACCAGGCTGGGCCTCCCTCAACCGGGCCTCCCTCGACCGTTCTGACTCCTAGCCTTCCCTCCATCTGCTGGATTCATCTTACACAAGCTCAGCTCTTCTTTTTTTTTTTTAAGAATTATTTTATTGAATTTACTTATTATTATTACTTTTTTTTTTTGAGTGGTTTAGCTATAGGGAGTGTGCACTCGCCAGAAGGACAGAGACAGAAAGACAGAAAGTGAGAAATCACCCCCCGGGGGAATGGCCACACTGCAATCCCTTGTCCTCCATTCTCCTCTCGGGATCTTGGGCATGTACACAGATGTACCTGGTGTAATTCTAAGCCACCTGGTCCGGGACTCAAACTGTGGTCAACTATATGGGAGTCCAGTGACGTAGCCATTACGCCAACTTCTGGTCCCTATTATTATTACTTTCTAATTTGACCAGAGAGTGAAAGAAAGCGAGAAAGCAAGCTGCCAAGTCCAGGACTCGAACTGCAGTCAACCATGTGGAAGTCCAGCACCTTAACCATCATGCCACCTGCCAGCCCACAAGCCCAGCTCTGATCAAGGCTCCCTCTATTCTAAAACTTTGGAGGCTCCTCCCACTTGATGCCTTCTGTGACCCAGGCCCTAGGGCCCCACATCCTCAGTGCATAGATGGTTCATGTTCCTTAAGCCAACCTTGCACCTTCCCACCCGGGTGTCTTTGCGGCTCGGATACTCTCACCTGGATTGTTGCCACAGGAGGCGTACAGGAGGGGGAGACAGTGCTCATCCATGCCGGCACAGGTGGGGTGGGCACGGCTGCCATCCTTCTGACCAGGCTGCTCAAAGCCGTCCCACTGGTGACCACGAGCTCCAAGGAGAATGTCCAGATGGCCCAGAGGCTGGGAGCTGCAGCAGGGTTTGATTACAAGAAGGAGGACTTCGCGGAGGAGGCTCTGAAGGCCACACAGGGTACGTCTGTGCATGACTGTGTTTGGGCCCATGTGTTCAGAGGAGAGGCCCAGCTGGTTCTCACTCCCCTTCTCTCCCTCTTCCGTAATCTTTTCCGCCTTCTTTCTATTCTGTATTAGTTACCTATTACTGCATAATAAATCACCCCAAAACATAATGGCTTCAGAGAAGTATTTGTTACGTCCGTGTCTGCGGGTCAGGAATCATGCTCCAGCTCAGAGTCTCTCACAAGGTGTCAGCTAGGGCTCCGGTCATCTCGAGGCCTGACTGGGGACCATCTGCCTCCAAGCTGACTCTCGAGGCAGTTGACAGACTCCTGTCTTCATCAGCTGTTAGCCAGAGACTTCAGTTCCTTGACATACGGCCTTTCCATGGGGCGGCTGGAAACATGGTAACTGACTTCCTTAAGAGAGAGTAAGCAAGAGCCAAAGAAAGAAAGTGCCCCAGATGGAAGCCACAGTCTTTTGATAACCTGATACTGGAAGTGACTTCCCATCGCTTCTGCCATGTCCTGCTCGTATTAAGTAAGTGTAAGTCGACCATACTCAAAGGGAGGGATCACCCAAAGGTATAAAAATCAGATAGGGGACTATCTTACAGGCTGCCTTCCACATCTTTCTCCTCCTCCTCTGTCATTACCAATCCTTTCTTCTCTTTCTCAACCGTCTCTCATTTTTTTTTTTTTTGGAGAGATTTTCGCTATAGGGCGCGTGCGCTCGCCAGACAGACAGAGAGAGACATAGAGACAGAAAGCGAGAAATCACCCCCCAGGGGGGATGGTCACGCCGCAATCCCT